CTGAACTAGAACTGAACTAGAACTGAACTAGAACTGAACTAGAACTGAACTAGAACTGAACTAGAACTGAACTAGAACTGAACTAGAACTGAACTAGAACTGAACTAGAACTGAACTAGAACTGAACTAGAACTGAACTAGAACTGAACTAGAACTGAACTAGAACTGAACTAGAACTGAACTAGAACTGAACTAGAACTGAACTAGAACTGAACTAGAACTGAACTGAACTAGAACTGAACTAGAACTGAACTAGAACTGAACTAGAACTGAACTAGAACTGAACTAGAACTGAACTAGAACTGAACTAGAACTGAACTAGAACTGAACTAGAACTGAACTAGACCTGAAATAGAACTGAACTAGAACAACGAAAACCGAAGAGAACTGAGCTAGAAGTGAACATTAACTGAATTAGAACAGCTATCAAACCAACAGATACCGTTAAGCAAAAGTCTGGTTTAGTTATTTTATTTCCTTCCACATTTAAATGTATCCTTAATTATATTTTAAAAAACAACAATAAATGTTAATGAGATCATTAAATCTTAAAAATGTATTCTTTTGTTAATAAAATAAAAAAATAAATTTGTTTACATCAACAACAAATCAGCAATTATGATAAAATTTTGAGATCTTAAACACACAAATGATTTTAAAAATTGGGAGTGTCAAAAGGAATGTTGAACTATTTAAAATTTACCTTTTTAATTTTAACACAAAAGTAGTTAAAAGGACTTTAAATTAAACAAAATTCACTTTTTATAATAAACACTTAAACATTCACTTTAAAATTTGAAAACAAACTAAATGATCATCGAAAATTATATGACAATTTTAACATTTATTGATGAAATTTTCTGTTCTAATGAAAAATGTGGGTAGACAAAAATATTTATTTTACTGTAGAAGAAACAAACTATCATTAGGTAAATGTTAGATGTACAAAATAATACAACTTTTGTTAATATGTGTTCAATTACCACCCACTTTATTTGGAAAGAAATTATATATGTACATATGTAAGTATTTGTTACATGATCAAATTCTCCACAGAAAATTTTCTATGGAAAAATTCATTATTTTTCAATGCCACTTTATTACACAATTGCAACTACGAAACTAATTAAGTAAAAGTGGCAAGCAATTGAAACGTAAATAAAATATAAAAATAGTAAAATATATTAAAAACAATTTATAAAAATATATTCTAAAAAACTACAATAAAAAGGCGGCATAATCTTTAGATTGAACTGAACGTGTAATTTAATCTTGAGCTGACATCATTGTTAAATCATTTTCTGAATCAAAACAATTAATTTGAAAAATTGCAATGAAAAAATCTCTTAACAGAGAGGGCACCACAACAAATGAAAGCCTTCAAAATTAATTAATAATATAAAACGTAACTCAATCTAAAGTACAATAAAAAATCTAATTATATTATATTAAGAAAACGTCAAATGTTTGTTGTAATTTATAATATACTCAATAAAATAATGTACTTTTATAGAAATATAAATTATAAATCTATTAAAACAATTAAAAAAAAACATAAGAATTTTACACCCCTATTCGGTATCTCAAGATTATACTCGGAAACAACTAGGGTTTTCACTTTCTCGAATATTTTCAACGTCTATGATTAGGGCATTTTATGAAGGCTTATTCGCGTTCTCCATAATTTTCAATAGAACTAAATTAGAACTGAACTAGAACTGAACTAGAACTGAACTGAACTAGAACTGAACTAGAACTGAACTAGAACTGAACTAGAACTGAACTAGAACTGAACTAGAACTGAACTAGAACTGAACTAGAACTGAACTAGAACTGAACTAGAACTGAACTAGAACTGAACTAGAACTGAAGTAGAACTGAACTAGAACTGAACTAGAACTGAACTAGAACTGAACTAGAACTGAACTAGAACTGAACTAGAACTGAACTAGAACTGAACTAAAACTGAACTGAAACTGAACTAGAACTAGAACTGAACTAGAACTAGAACTGAACAAGAACTGAACTAGAACTGAAGTAGAACTGAACTAGAACTGAACTAGAACTGAACTAGAACTGAACTAGAACTGAACTAGAACTGAACTAGAATTGAACTAGACCTGAAATAGAACTGAACTAGAACTGAACTAGAACTGAACTAGAACTGAACTAGAACTGAACTAGAACTGAACTAGAACTGAACTAGAACTGAACTAGAACTGAACTAGAACTGAACTAGAACTGAACTAGAACTGAACTAGAACTGAACTAGAACTGAACTAGAACTGAACTAGAACTGAACTAGAACTGAACTAGAACTGAACTAGAACTGAACTAGAACTGAACTAGAACCTGAACTAGAACTGACTAGAACTGAACTAGAACTGAACTAGAACTGAACTAGAACTGAACTAGAACTGAACTAGAACTGAACTAGAACTGAACTAGAACTGAACTAGAACTGAACTAGAACTGAACTAGAACTGAACTAGAACTGAACTAGACTGAACTAGAACTGAACTAGAACTGAAACTAGAACTGAACTAAACTGAACTAGAACTGAACTAGAACTGAACTAGAACTGAACTAGAACTGAACTAGAACTGACTAGAACTGAACTAGAACTGAACTAGAACTGAACTAGAACTGAACTAGAACTGAACTAGAACTGAACTAGAAACTGAACTAGAACTGAACTAGAAACTGAACTGAACTAGAACTGAACTAGAACTGAACTAGAACTGAACTAGAACTGAACTAGAACTGAACTAGAAACTGAACTAGAACTGAACTAGAACTGAACTAGAACTGAACTAGAAACTGAACTAGAACTGAACTAGAACTGAACTAGAACTGACTAGAACTGAACTAGAACTGAACTAGAACTGAACTAGAACTGAACTAGAACTGAACTAGAACTGAACTAGAACTGAACTAGAACTGACTAGAACTGAACTAGAACTGAACTAGAACTGAACTAGAACTGAACTAGAACTGAACTAGAACTGAACTAGAACTGAACTAAAACTGAACTGAAACTGAACTAGAACTAGAACTGAACTAGAACTGAACAAGAACTGAACTAGAACTGAAGTAGAACTGAACTAGAACTGAACTAGAACTGAACTAGAACTGAACTAGAACTGAACTAGAACTGAACTAGAACTGAACTAGAACTGAGCCAGAACTGGACTAGAACTGAACTAAACTAGAAATGAACTGGACTGGAACAGAACTTGAACTAGAACTGAACTAAAATTGACCTAGTACTTAAAGTTTTAGCTTTGAACTGAAACTCTAAACACAACCTAACAAATCTGGAATAAATTTTTAGACGCAAAAAAAACAAAGCATAACAATTCGATTCAATTTACTTTAAGTGTAATTTAAATTACAAATAGATTTAATTCAAATAGAATAGAACATAATACATTACATGTGATTATTTCTTACAAATCCACAAGTGGTTACACCTTGTTGTTGTAGACATAATGTATAGAGATTAAATTTAACCTCCCAGACTTCAGGGTAGACAACTAACTGTAGCAGCAGCTTTAGCTAAAAAAATTTACAGCCGCCAATATGCAATTATTATAAACAATAACTTGTTATGGTTTGCAACAAAAAAAAAGAGAACAATTTTGAAAAACTTAAAAAAAAGAATTTAAAAAGCGTGAGAAAATGTTCAAACCTACAACTTTGCAAGTATCGTCTAAATACTATTGTTGCTGATACTATAAGTTTGTAAGCCCCCATTACAGAAAGAAACACACATTAAACTAATTATTAACATTTTAAAACCATTTAGAAAATAGAAATCTTAATTAATTTGTTTTTACAAAATAACTAACAGCCACAAAGCGAAGAAATATAAACTAATAAAGCATACAGGTCATAAAGTCAAGAATTTTAAATGCATTTAAGTGAAACAAAGTGAAGATATAGATTATGTTATATTTTTGTTCAAGCTTAGCTTTTTTTTTAATCACACATATATATATATATGTATATAAGTTTTATACTAATTTTAAAAGCCCTTTTATAATTACATTTTTTTTTTTAATTTTTAAACGATTTGAAATTTAAACCAATTTTCAACGCCATTATTATCTTTAGTACCAACTTAATTAAGTGTGGTAGTTAACTGTGAAATAATAAGAACATAGTTATAATGTTTGCAATTAAAAGTGTGGTGATCGAAATGTTATAGTTCAGTTCTAGTTTAGTTCTAGTTCAATTCTAGTTCTAGTTCAGTTCTAGTTCAGTTCTAGTTCAGTTCTAGTTCAGTTCTAGTTCAGTTCTAGTTCAGTTCTAGTTCAGTTCTAGTTCAGTTCTAGTTCAGTTCTAGTTCAGTTCTAGTTCAGTTCTAGTTCAGTTCTAGTTCAGTTCAGTTCTAGTTCAGTTCAGTTCTAGTTCAGTTCTAATTCAATTCTAGTTCGGTTCTAGTTCAGTTCTAGTTCAGTTCTAGTTCAGTTCTAGTTCAGTTCTTGTTCAGTTCTAGTTCACTTCTAGTTCAGTTCTAGTTCAGTTACGTTCTAGTTCAGTTAAGTTCTAGTTCAGTTCTAGTTCAGTTCTAGTTCAGTTCTAGTTCAGTTCTAGTTCAGTTCTAGTTCAGTTCTAGTTCAGTTCTAGTTCAGTTCTAGTTCAGTTCTAGTTCAGTTCTAGTTCAGTTCTAGTTCAGTTCTAGTTCAGTTCTAGTTCAGTTCTAGTTCAGTTCTAGTTCAGTTCTAGTTCAGTTCTAGTTCAGTTCTAGTTCAGTTCTAGTTCAGTTCTAGTTCAGTTCTAGTTCAGTTCTAGTTCTGTTTCTAGTTCTGTTCTAGTTCAGTTCTAGTATCAGTTCTAGTTCAGTTCTAGTTCAGTTCTAGTTCAGTTCTAGTTCAGTTCTAGTTCAGTTCTAGTTCAGTTCTAGTTCAGTTCTAGTTCAGTTCTAGTTCAGTTCTAGTTCAGTTCTAGTTCAGTTCTAGTTCAGTTCTAGTTCAGTTCTAGTTCAGTTCTAGTTCAGTTCTAGTTCAGTTCTAGTTCAGTTCTACTTCAGTTCTAGTTCAGTTCTAGTTCAGTTCTAGTTCTAGTTCAGTTCTAGTTCAGTTCTAGTTCAGTTCTAGTTCAGTTCTAGTTCAGTTCTAGTTCTAGTTCAGTTCTAGTTCAGTTCTAGTTCAGTTCTAGTTCAGTTCTAGTTCAGTTCTAGTTCAGTTCTAGTTCAGTTCTAGTTCAGTTCTAGTTCAGTTCTAGTTCAGTTCTAGTTCAGTTCTAGTTCAGTTCTAGTTCAGTTCAAGTTCAGTTCTAGTTAAGTCTAATTCAGTTCTAGTTCACGTCTAATTTAGTTCTAGTTCAGTTCTAGTTTAGATCTAGTTCAGTTGTTATACTAAATTCAGTTCTTCTACTTTTATATTTACAGCAGTAGTTTATTTAAAATAGTCATGCAGAAGAACAATTTATATTGTTAAACTTACAATTATTTCCTCAAAATGTTTATCAGTTTAACATCTTTACATTTAGAAAATAAAACTAATTGTTATTGACATCATAAAGTCTATAATCTTTAACTCAATTAATTGCAAACAATAAATTTGCCGATTTTCTAGCTGTTTTGTTTTTGTTTGTTTTCCTCTCAAATTTATTATCAAACAAACGAATGATCATCATGTAACCATCGATGCTGATGATGATTAAATAATAAAATAACAATTATTTAACGATGATCTTATGGCGTGCGCTTCTAAATTGCTAGTCAAACGGTTGTAAAAATAAAACATCAATAAAAACAAATCAACTGCAAAATATAAAAAGCAAAAATAAAAAATAAAACAGTCAATGTACAATAGACACCTGTTTAAAAGACCTCCAAGTCCCCGACTCTTCTTTAACTAAAAGCTAACTTAAAAAAAAGACAAATCTAACGTCGATGTAGGAAACATAAAATGGTCAGATACTTAGATATACAACTGGTTTGTTAGTTTCATCTTCGTCAAAAGTGTTGCAAATAATAGATAAGCAGCAACTCTCACAAAAAGCTAAGCAAATCAAGGGGGAAGATGTGTCAGTGGCGCTAAACTGTTGCAACATACAAAATGTCTAGGGATTTCTTTGTGAAAATAGTGGCTATAGTAGACTTTGTTGAGACGTTTGCTTTAAACATGTTTTTTAAAGTTTCATGTTTAATATTTTTACCCAAAGTAGCGTACTTTTAGAAACTAAGTATAGTTCGAATGTAATAATTCCAGCTTAATTGAGCCGCAAATAGTAAACTAGAAGTGTTTTGTTTTTGTACAGATTTGTAGCAATAGGTTGCTACCAGCAACTTCTTCTTCTTAAATTATTTTTGTTAAATGTTTAAATAAATATTGTATTTTATATATTTTTGAAAAATTTAAAAGCCGGTTAAATTATGGCATTTGTGTTACAAAAACAGCAACAATTTAAACGTTGCCGCCGGTAGCTATAAATCCAAGTACGTACAAAATAATGATGTTTTTTAGTCGTCTATTATTGGTAAATAAGCTGGATTGTTGTGAACACTTAATAGTTTTTTGTTGTAACTTGCGAAGTGATAAACTAAAATAAATAAATATTCATTTATTTTGTTTTTGAAATAGAGCTTTGGGTTATATTATCATACCGCATTGATTGCTTATATTAAGAGGAAGTGACAAAACTAGGGCGCCTAACTATTAATGATAATTAATGAAAGTTTTTAAAAATTAGAAAGGTTTTTGATTTTGTGCAAGGAATGTAAGGTATTGTTAATACTAGTAACTAGTGTTACTAAAACGCAGTTTATACAGTATAAAAGATTATAAGTATTCAAAGATTTACTGCACAAAAACTGAACCACAACAGAACTAGAACTGAACCACAACTGAACTACAACTGAACTAGAACCGAACTACAACCGAAATATAACTGAATTAGAACTGAACTAGAACTGAACTACAACTGAACTGGAACTGAACTAGAACTGAACTAGAACTGAACTAGAACTGAACTAGAACTGAACTAGAACTGAACTAGAACTGAACTAGAACTGAACTAGAACTGAACTAGAACTGAACTAGAACCGAACTAGAACTGAAGTAGAACTGAACTAGAACTGAACTAGAACTGAACTAGAACTAGAACTGAACTAGAACTGAACTAGAACTAAACTAGAACTGAACTAGAACAGAACTAGAACTGAACTAGAACTGAACTAGAACTGATCTAGGACTGAACTAGAACTGAACTAGAACTAAACTAGAACTCAATTAGAACTGAACTACAACTGAACTAGAACTGAATTTGAACCGCCCTACAACTGATGCAAATAAATGTTTAAATCTAATCACTATAAACGCCTTTTTATTATTTTTGTATATTTGTACTTCATTTTAAATTAATTACTATTTTCATCTCTATTTTCTTACAGTGATATCCTTCGTTGGAGTAAAACATGCAATAACCCCCATCCTGAGAAGAAGAGGGCACAATTAAGCTGGCAAATACTACAATATAATATATCTTTTTACAATCCTATGTAACTAATTTTAAATAATATGTTGTATATTTTTTATATATTGTTTTTAATTTACTCTTGAGATTTAAGAATCTGTAAGTATTACTGTTACGAGCATTTTAAATCTATCACTATCTCATATTTAATAATAACAACGTTTCAAACAGTGGAAATGTACATTTTCAACTAAAAATGTTCAATATTTAAATGTCCATTAAATTGTTACTTTTAAGAATCAACATTATGTTCAGTATGAAGTATAACACACAAAGTAAAACATTTTACAAATTTATTTCATTACCATCTTGTAGCCCGTTTTACATAATACTTGCATGTGAAATTTCAACTTAATATTCTTCTTAACACAAAAGTTATTACAAAATAACTAAAACAGACTTAAGCGTTTTGTGTTTAACATTACGCCATTAGACAGTTTTACTAATATACTGCTAAGTTCCAAAGTTTTAGAAATATTTAAACGAAATTAGTGTCGTTCGAAAGCCAGGAAAATAAGCTACTCGTTACAGTTAAGCTTTTACACAAACTGCCGCGCTCGCTACCTTAAATGAAGGCTTAAAATACAAAAACGCTTATAACACTGAAGCTTTTAAGTTTCCAAAATGTATTTATGTCCATCTTAAAGAACGTTATTTGTTTTATCTCTCTGAGAATTTTCATGTTGATAGTCCCATTAGTACAGAAGTTATAAAAGGGAAAGTAAAAGTTTTAGGAGCGTTTTATGTTCAACTTTACGGCTCATGAACTGTTTCACTATTTAATTCATAACTTCCAAAATACTAAATATATTGGCGTGAAACTTGTGCCATCAACTAGAATGGAATACGGGCTACATAATGGATGTACAATTTGTTACCAGATAACACAACCGCAATCCCAATTTGATAAGCTAAAAATAAAAACGCTCTTACGACAAACTGATAACGCTTAGTAAGTTTTTACTAATATCATATCAGAGCTAAGGATCTGCTCTAGCTATATGTTAAATTTCAAAGCATTTGGCCTAATATGGTGGAAGTTATGACGAAAAAACATCGGATTACAAAATTCCCCAAAAAATTGAAAAAATCAATTTCACTTTTTTTGTGAACTAATAGGTGAACAGAACCTGGTAGAAAGTAATTTTCCTAAAGACAATTTTACAATTTTGCTTATTACTACTACAGTTTAAGCAATATTTGGGAGTTATTAGGCTCATATGATAGCTTGGAATATGAGCTTAATAACTAAAAGAAAATGTTCGTTCTACTGCCACGCCCACTAATTGAAATTAAGGCGTAAAGTATGAAAACGTTTGTAACACAGAAGCCAAACAATTCTTCAAATTTATTTCTTCGCCATCTTGTAGTCCATATTACATTCTATCTGTGTGTGAAATTTCAAGTTGATATTCCTCTTAGCATAGAAGTTATAGCAAAATAACTAAAACAGTTCTAAGAGTGTTGTGTTTAACGTTACGACCATTACACAGTTTTACTAATTTATTCATAACTTCCAAATTTCTTGAAGTATTTAAACGAAATAGGTGTCGTTTGAAAGCTAGGAAGATAAGGTACCCAACTCAATTCAAATTTTACAGAAACTGCCACGCCCTCTACTTTAAATTAAGCCTTAAAGTTTAAAAACGCTTATAACACTGAAGCTATTAATTTTCCAAAATTTATTTTTCCCCATCTTAAAGAACATTAAATTTTCTATCTGTCTGTGAAATTTCAAGCTAATAATGTCATTAGTTTCGAAGTTATTGAACAAAAGCTACAATATTCCGGAGCGTTTTATGTTCAACTTTAAGGCTAATACACTATTTTATTAATTTAAGCATAACTTCCAAAATACCAAATATATTGACGTGAAAATTGTGTCATCAGCTAGAATGGAATACGGGCTACATCATGGATGTACATTTTTTCACCAGATATCACAACCACATTCCCAATTTTACAAGCTAAAAATCAAAACGCTTTTAGTACAAACTTAACACGCTTAGTAACTTTTTTAGTTATACCACGTCAAAGCTATGGATCTGCTCTAGCTACATGCTAAATTTCAAAACATTTGGTTCAATAATGTGAAAGTTATGACAAAAAAACACCGAGCTTCAAAATTCCCCAAAAATTGGAAAAAATCAATTTCACTTTTTTTTTGTGATCTAATAGGTGAACAGAACCTGGTAGAAAGTAATTTTCCTAAAGACAATTTTACAATTTTGCTTATTACTACTACAGTTTAAGGAACATTTGAAAGATATTGAGCTCATATGATAGCTTGGAATATGAGCTTCCTAACTAAAAGAAAATTTTCGTCCTACTGCCACGCCCACTAATTGAAATTAAGGCGTAAAGTATGAAAACGTGTGTAACACAGAAGCTAAACAACTTTACAAATTTATTTCTTCGCCATCTTGTAGTCCATATTCCATTCTATCTGTGTGTGAAAATTCAAGTAGATATTCCTCTTAGCGGAGAAGTTATTACAAAATAACAAAAACAGTTGTAAGCGTTTTGTAATTAACATTACGGACATAAGACAGTTTTACTAATTAACTCATAACTTCCAAAGTTCTAGAAATATCTAAAAGAAATTTATGTCGTTCGAAAGCTAGGGAAATGGGCTACCCAATTCAGTGAACCTTTTACAGAAAGTGCCACGCCCCTACTTTAAATTAAGCCTTAAAGTTTAAAAACGCTTATAACACTGAAGCTATTAACCTTACAAAATTTATTTTTCTTCATCTTAAAGAGCATTAAATTTTCTATCTGTATATGAAATTTCAAGTTAACAATGTCATTAGTTTTGAAGTTATTAAAGAAAAAGTAATACATTGCGGAGCGTTTTATGCTGAACTTAAAGGGTTATAAACTATTTCACTTATTTAAGCATAACTTCCAAAATACCAAATATATCGGCGTAAAAATTGTGTCATCAGCTAGAATGGAATACGGGCTACATCATGGATGTGCAATTTCTTACCAGGTATCACAAACACCTTCCCAATTTTAAAATTTAAAAATCAAAACGCTTTTAATATAAACTTAAGACGCTTAGTAAGTCTTTTGTTATACCACGTCAAAGCTATGTATCTGCTCTAGCTACATGCTAAATTTCAAAACATTTGGCTCAATAATGTGGAAGTTATGACAGAAAAACATCGGATTACAAAATTTCCAAAAAATGGAAAAAACCAATTTCACTTTTTTTTGTGAACTAATAGGTGAACAGAACCTGGTAGAAAGTAATTTTCCTAAAGACTATTTTACAATTTTGCTTATTACTACTACAGTTTAAGGAATATTTGGAAGATATTGAGCTCATATGAAAGCTTGGAATATGAGCTTTCTAACTAAAAGAACATTTTCATTCTACTGCCACGCCCACTAATTGAAATTAAGGCGTAAAGTATGAAAACGTTTATAACACAGAAGCTAAACAATTTTACAAATTTATTTCTTAGCCAACTTGTAGTCCATATTCCATTCTATCTGCGTGTTAAATTTCAAGTTGATATTCCTCTTAACGGAGAAGTTATTACAAAGTTACTAAAACAGTTGTAAGCGTTTTGTGTTTAACATTACGGTCATTAGACGGTTTTACTAATTTACTAATAACTTCCAAATTTCTTGGAGTATTTAAATGAAATTGGTCTCGTTTGAAAGCTAGGAATATAAGCTACCCAACTCAATTCACATTTTACAGAAGCTGCCACGCCCTCTACTTTAAATTAAGCCTTAAAGTTTAAAAACGCTTATAACACTGATGCCATTAATTTTCCAAAATTTATTCTTCCCCATCTTAAAGAACATAAAATTTTCTATCTGTCTGTGAAATTTCAAGTTAATAGTGTCATTGGTTTTGAAGTTATTAAGCAAAAACTACAATATTCCGGAGCGTTTTAAGTTCAACTTTAAGGCTTATAAACTATTTTACTAATTTAAGCATAACTTCCAAAATACCAAATATATTGACGTGAAAATTGTGTCATCAGCTAGAATGGAATACGGGCTACATCATGGATGTAAATTTTTTCAACAGATATCACAACCACATTCCCAAATTTACAAGCTAAAAACAAAACGCTTTTAGTACAAACTTAACACGCTTAATAAGTTTTTTAGTTATACCACGTCAAAGCTATGAATCTGCTCTAGCTACATGCTAAATTTTAAAGCATTTGGCCTAATATAGTGGAAGTTATGACGGAAAAACATCGGATTACAAAATTCCCCAAAAAATGGAAAAAACCAATTTCACTTTTTTTGTGAACTAATAGGTGAACAGAACCTGGTAGAAAGTAATTTTCCTAAAGACAATTTTACAATTTTGCTTATTACTACTGCAGTTTAAGGAATATTTGGGAGATATTGGCTCATATGATAGCTTGGAATATGAGCTTCCTAACTAAAAGAAAATTTTCGTCCTACTGCCACGCCCACTAATTGAAATTAAGGCGTAAAGTATGAAAACGTTTGTAACACAGAAGCCAAACAATTCTACAAATTTATTTCTTCGCCATCTTGTAGTCCATATTACATTCTATCTGTGTGTGAAATTTCAAGTTGATATTCCTCTTAGCATAGAAGTTATAGCAAAATAACTAAAACAGTTCTAAGCGTGTTGTGTTTAACGTTACGACCATTACACAGTTTTACTAATTTATTCATAACTTCCAAATTTCTTGAAGTATTTAAGCGAAATTGGTGTCGTTTGTAAGCTAGGAAGATAAGGTACACAACTCAATTCAAATTTTATAGAAAATGCCACGCCCTCTACTTTAAATTAAGCCTTAAAGTTTAAAAACGCTTATAACACTGAAGCTATTAATTTTCCAAAATTTATTTTTCCCCATCTTAAAGAACATTAAAATTTCTATCTGTCTGTGAAATTTCAAGCTATTAATGTCATTAGTTTCGAAGTTATTGAACAAAAAGTAAAACATTTCGGAGCGTTTTATGTTCAACTTTAAGGCTTATAAACTCTTTCACTAATTTAAGCATAA